AAATTGGGAAAATAACTAAAAACCGCAGACTAAAGCTACGGCTACCTCCAGAATCATCCTCATCATCTTCATCATTGGTATCATCAGATCAATGACCTAACTAAACAACTCAAATTTAAATTCATTTTACTAAAAAATTAAAATAATGTACAAATTGTATTACTCTATATATGAAATGTATAAATAATATAAATGTATATAAAAAAAAAATTGTAAAAACAAACATTTTGTTGAAACAATTATAATTAATAAATGAAAAAAAAAATCTATTTGAATATTATTGTTTTATTTAAAAACCTTAATCAATATTTTAAATGAAACTTCTAATAATAAATTAATTATTTTCGAAGTTAGAATGTATTTGCATTGCATATTATGTATATGTTTATTCAAGTAATATAATTATTGATATATGTTTATTCAAGTAATATAATTATTGATATATATTTTTTTCAAACCTTTTTCCATCTAGTTATTAATTTAACACTTATCTTATTCTTAATAGTTAACCTATTATATATCATTTTAACCTTAATAAAACAAGACAAAAAAAACTTACAAATATTTATGATTTATTGATTAGCTTCAAATTGTAAACATTAAATAGTTTATATCTCACTGTTTCAGTCTTATATGTCGAGATATAATAAAAAATAAAAACACCAAGAATATTGATCCTACACCTTTTGTTGGAGGTATGGCTATGTAAGTATTATATTATTTCAATTAACTTTTTTATCTAATCACTATAATTTAATATGTTTAGGTCCATACTTATGATCAAAAATGGATTACTCATGAATGATCCTAATATTATACCAGTCAATATTTTTGGATTTATATTAAACTTTATTTATTTTTTAGTTTTTTATTTTTATACTGCTGATTCGGTAAATAAATTACTGTTCTTTTTTAATATCTAATTTATGACCAGATATTATAATAGTTTTATGTTTTTAGAAACCATTATTTTCAATGTTAACTAAAGCTACATTATTCACTGGTGTATTATGGGGGTACTCGACAATTGAAGATGAAAAACTAATTGAATATCGTTTTGGAGTTATTCTCACAGTATTAATGTTGACACTTATCGGGGCTCCTTTATTTTCTTTGGTAAATTTATCTAAGTATTTTTATTATATAAATATATGAAATATCTTATTATCATTTATATGTATATATATTTTCTTAAAAATAAAAAACATGTATGATTGTTGTTAATTATCAGGTATTGTCGTATTATCATTAATTATTTACATGAAAATAATATTTTTTCTGTTTTTTATCATAAACCTTTCTTTGCACAGTAGATTATAAAATTAATTAATTTGAAATTAAAGCAAGATTAAATTAGGAATATTTTTATTTGTAAATGTAAATAGATTTTAGAACTTATATTTATTCTATACCATCAATATTTATGGGAAATTTTATACTCAGACCAACAGGAGAAACATCATCCCGTGCCTCAACAAATATTTTTTCATTTTTGCACATATGACAGCATATCAGCCAGTGTGTCTGAGAGTGGGATAAATAATGTATCTCATGAGTGAAACCAATTTCTTCTCTTGTAGAGCTAAAAAATGACACCTATTAAATATCAGCTATTTGTCTATTACTTATATGTGATAATTTATTTTACAGAATGATATCATTAAAAATAAAGATGCATCAATGCTACCTTTTCCAATGATTTCTTCTGGAGCTTTTGTTGGATTCTTGTGGTTAATATATGGGTTGTTAATAGACAATATATTTATCAAGGTATGACAAAAAATCCTATTTGAATACACATTTATACTTAAGTTCTTTTTTTTTTACAGGTTCAAAATATAGTTGCTGTCATATTGTGTTTGATACAATTAGGATTAATATTCAAGTATCCTAAAACAGAAAGCAAGAAACGTGATTAATTAACATAGTTACCAATTTATTGTAGAATTTATTTGTGTACTGTGATTATCTTATGCCTCCTTTAATATTATATTTATATAATATCCATACATTTCCATTATTTTGAGTGCTATTTTCTGTACTTATTTAATTATCGACAGGCTTCGGATTATTCTTAAATTCCAAAATGTGATAGTCAAAGTAATAGATATTAATTATGTGCAATTTTTTGTTTTAAATATAATTATACAAAATACAAATAATCAAAATCATTCCAATTAACTAAATTAATTTAGTTGTCTATAATATTGTTGTTTAGTTCTTTAAATTATTGTGACCAATAATAAAATTGTAGATATTAATTATCTTGTATTACAATTAATTTTTTTTTTTCAAACAAACTCGTAGGTACATTCTATATAATTTATTTTTGATTGGTACACGATGATGTTGTTTTGTATCTTTTTTAAATTAAATAAGTATACCCTACTTAATGGGATTTGATGCCGACCAATAAAGTGTATCATTTGTCATTGTTAGAAATGGTTGATTTTATTAATATATTAACTACATACACCTATAATATGTTTTGTTTAGTAGGTTAATACTTTTTCCTAACAAAACAATTTAAATATTGTCATTAGCTAATTTTGGAAACAGATAAATCAATTTAATTTAATTTAAATATTAAGGCTTGAACCAATGGCAGTTTACTAATTGCGCTTAAAATGATCTTTTTATATACCAATTGTGCTCCATACATTTTTAGGCCGATAGACCAATTGGGCTCAAAACATTTTTGAATACCTAAGAAAAACTTATTAGTTAGTTATAAATGTATAATTATTTAATAAATGAAATCACTAACTGATATTTTGGGATTGTCAATATACATGATATATAATATTATAATATAAATAAATAATGTATGATGCAAACAAATGTGCATGCTTAATAATAATAATGTTTCATAAAACTCTTAAATAAATTAAATAAATTCTACTTTCTTTTTTCTTAAGATTTTGATTAATTACTTTGTATTTATTTTACTATATGTTCTTTACCAATAACAAAAGTTATACTAATAGTTTGTACTCAAATTTTTCAACTTTTAAGATCAAAGCTACAACAACCAACGTTTACCTAAAAATGAAAAATACATAATGTGCAAATGTAAAGCAGTCCAAAGGCTATGTATAACAATATATCGTGAAACCAGTGCATATAATAATAAATACAAATAATTCATATTTGATAATGTAAACCTACTAGCTGATCCTCCTGCACTACATTGTTGGTTTAAAATATTAACTATATTATGATTGTCGACGTTGATCCGTAACAAGCAAATGTTACTATACAAATATTCAATATTTTGGTATCATAGTGCAATGTTGGTAACGTTTCAATAGTTTTTTTTTCTTTGAACCAACTACTCATAGGCGCAACTAGATCTCTAAAACGTGGGATGCTAAATCTGTGAATACATCACAGAGCCATGGGGGGGGGGCAAAGTCCCCCACACCACCTATGTAGACCAACATTAATTGATACATTAAAATTTTAAAACATATATTAAGCCTTTTTACAAAAATAAAAAAATGAACAGCATTTATAATACTCTTATCAAATTTCATAATCCTGTTAAATAAATAATAATTTATACATTTGAAATCAGCATAATTTTGCTGGGTTTCATGCAGTATTTATTCAAAATAATTTCGGTTTTTATCTGATGATTGAATAAATCTTTTTCAATATTCAACAAAGATAAATAATGAATTATGTTACACGACCAAACAATTATACATTTTTTCATGAAATTTCCCATCATTTAAAAACATAAAATTCATAGTATWAGGTATATAATAATAATTATATATAAARCACATGGGGTGCTAAAGACCTTATTGCAACCCCCTAGTTGCGCCACAGCAACTACTATGTAAATAGCCTTTGAATTGAAATGAAATTAAACAAGTAAAGAATATAATATTGTTTATTTTACTTTACATACTACCATATATTTAGTAAAATATTATAAATTATAATACCTATATTGATGCAGAGGAAAAAAGTTTCAAGTTCCTACAGTTAATATATATTTTGTATTATCTACAGCAAAATGTGTCAGCTTTTTTTTTACTCTGTCGTAGTATACTGGTGCTCTTAACTGCAGTTGGCTGTTGAAAGAGATTTAGAGATGTTGTTAGACCCCTATGAGGCTGTAAGTATATCAAGTAGAACTTAATAGTTAAATAGTTTTAAATTTTTGAGAATATAGAAAAATAGTAAGTTAGTAATGGTATAGCTAGATATTATGTCATCTGTGAACACGGTAAAATTCTAAAATCTCTTAGACCTTATTATTACTTATAAAATAAATAATATACATATTTTTAYTACATAAAACATAAAAGTATTATAAAAGTATAAATCTAAGGCAACAGCCAATTGAGCCAATTGATATATTCTGTTGGGGTGAACGAATAATTTCATAAAAATCAGTATACGTATAGTTTAGGACGACAATGATGATGCGTTTGTAATCGCACAAACTATAATTTCACTAGAAAAATCAATTTTCTTGTAAGGTTTTTGTAATCTTTGATTGCAGATGGTTATTATAAGGGTTCGGATTTTAAAGCAAATGCTTCTGTTTTTTATATAAATAATAAATATATATATATAAGATAAAATGCTAATTTTTATGTATAAATTCGTTTMACGTTATTCTCATTCCAAATAAATCAATTTATTTATGTTTTTTTATTGGTTTTTTTCAATTATTCTTGCTTTGAAATGTGTACATTATGTTTATTATGTTATAGTAATAAAATAATCTAATTGAATTAATAAGAAAATCCGGAATACGTAGTACGGACTAAATGGTCATATTACTCATATTGCATGGTTTTCTATATTTAGTATAAAAACATTCTGACAGACGATAGCCTGTTCAGTTTCACAATTGAAAATCTAGCCACCAAATACATGGTAGTGAATTCTTATATTTAATTTGAGTTAATTTTTCAATTTTTTTAAGTCAGTTTTACAACTAATTAATGTGAATTTTTTTATCATGCTTTAGTTTTGCTTTTTTTTTTAAATAAATAATATTATGTCACCACTTCACCAGTTCACCACTGGTATTATTCCCTCGTTATCGGTAGTTTCCCCTGGTTTAGTGGTTTCATAAACTCATAGTTTTCATTCACATTTTCAAAAATATTCTATTCCAAATTCGAAAAATTCCTGGGACATTACAGTGTTGTTCTATAGTTTTAAATTAAAATTAGATWATTTATTTTTCATCAAAATAATAAAATGTTCGAAAAGATTGATAATAATTAAAATTTCACTTCCGATATTCGACGCCTTCTTATCATTTTACACCTGTTATCAGAATGTTCTTGCATAATTGCATTAGTTACTTTTTTTACTATATTTTGGTGTTATAAGCATTCAGCTATTAAGCAATAAGCTTTTTGTAACTTGTAAGTTATAAGTGACTGTCTGATCTAAGCAATTGTTAATTATAACTACGGCCTACAATTACGAACTAGGTAGTAGGTGCAAAGTATAAACTGTTGTAMGTTGAAAAATGAACGGTTGAAATGTTCTTTCGAATAGACTGTTCCTATTCGAAGACTCATATTCTCGCGCAGGCGTTTAAATTGAAAATGTTGACCACGAAATGAATTATTATGGACGAGCAACAATCAGTGTCCGAAAGCGTTGAGACGAGTTCTATTTGTGAAGAAGAACGGGCAAGGAAACTATTYCAAGCCTGCGATGGCGATGGCGATGGTTACATTGATAGGTGAAAATAAAATACTATTAGAATTATGGTTTTGGTATGTTGTATTTGGCTTTCATCAGCTATWGGCTGATGTATAAGTTTTATGCTAATTTCCTTCTGATAATATATTCTCGTAACAATTGCAGAACATATAAAACTATTCAATTTATTTTACAGATTTTATTTGTTAAATACCCTTTCTGCATTAAAAATGTTATTTATTAGTTAATTTTATTAACTGTTATTTGTTTTCTATGTTTTTAGTCGAGATCTGTTGACCATATGTCGTCAGTTAAATTTAGAAGACAGTGTAGATGACTTGATGAAAGAATTGGGTGCTGATCAATCTGGTCGTATATCTTTTGATGAGTTTGTTAGACGTCGTTTGGAGTTACGAACAGAAATCAATGCACTTCGTGTTCATGTCTATGACCCATTACCTGAATACTTGCCAACCAGTAGTGATAATAGCTTGGGTAAGATTTATAAACATTTGTTCTGTAGAAATTATTTTTAATTAAACTACCTATATTAGGAGCATTATCTGGTGGTAAACATGAAAGTTGGGAATTTGATAGTGGGGCCAGAGACCTAAGCCCTGAACCCAATTCTGTTCGCATGCAAAATCTGCTACAAACAGGAGGATCAGCTAACTCAGGAAATTTACTACATCTTGCAAACAAAGTAACACTATATTTTTAAATAGTATTTTTGTTATACTGTCATGGATGTATTAAAATTAATTTTACATTTTAGTTGCATTTAGCTGCATTGAAGTCATTGAAAACTGAAATATCAGATTTAACTAAACAATTGCAATTGGCCAATGAAAAAAATGACATTCTTGAAACATCTATAAACCAAATCAAAGTAAAACTTATGTTTCATAAGGATTTATTGATATATTTTATAAATTACAATATTATAGCTAATATTTAATAATAACTCAATTACTGTGCAGGTTGCAACGGAAATTGATGTAAAACAGAAATATGAAGAAAGAATTACTGAATTGCATTCAGTAATTGCCGAGCTTGCTCGTAAGTTACAAGTTCAAAGATCTCAAGTTATTACTGAAGAAATAGAAGAAAGCCAATCTGGTAATATTGCTTTAAAATTTGGGTTTATGTGAAATTTAAAAAAATAAATATTTATTCTTTTAGAAATTGATGGACAAAGTATTGAAACATCTTCATTTATTCAAGAGTCCATTGTTTTATCTAAAGAAGTATGTACAAATTATATTTTACTATAAAAATGTTAGTAACATTAGAAGACAAATATATTACATTTATTATTAGAATAAGTCATAAGTCATAATAAAATGAATATATACAAAATCATCAATATTGTTAGTATTTAGCCGATGTAACTTTTATAACATAGTGCTATTAAAATAAATAATTTTAAACWATTTTATACTATTTTACATGGAATTTTATTTTATAGTTCAAATTATATACAAAATATGTTGTA